ATATAGCAAATCATCATAGTCTTTATTGGTCTAGTATAATTCATTCAAGAACTCCTCATATGTGATGACCAAAAGCTTAGTGATTTATTTTCATTTAGCAACAATTTAATGATCATAAATGATTCTATCACGCCAAAAGAGTCGAGCAATAAAAAGTTCCTATAAAGTACACTAATTACCATGCTTTTGTAGTTGATACCAATTGTAATGCTCATTTACTTTGAGAGTGAAGAATTTGGAACATTTCTTACATTACATGTTGAACAACCATTATCAAGAAACCATTTCTCCTTGGATGATGAAGATTCCTTTAAACAACCCTACAAGGTAAACTTAGGAAATCTTCGTTTGGTACCCAAATTTTTTTGGGTCCATAAGTGTTAGGCAATGGCACAAAAGTTCCTTTTGGAACCCAAATCTTCTTGATCCTTTTCTTCTTTTTAAATGGACAATTGTAAATTTTATGTCCCAACCTTTTACAATAATTGCATTTAGAGTAATGAAAAGAACTTTTGACAAAGGAATCATTTGGGCACTTTCTCTTTTTCATTAAACTTGCATCTTTGATATTAGGTTCATATCCTATTTCATTTTTGAAAGAAACATTTCTTTGATTTCCAAGCATAGTATTCAAGTTCTCTTTTTCTTTGGTTAACTTTGCTAAGATGTCATTTTGATCATCAATGACTTCCTTTGAAGAATTATATTCGAAAGCACAATTGATGGTGACTCTTTAGATAGTACATTATCATTTTCCTTTATCAAAGACTCATTTTCAATTTAAATTTTTTCTAATTCTTGCTCAAGATAATGAATTTTATTTTTTAAAGAATCATTTTCCATTTGAACTTTTTCTTATCCTTGAGAGAGATCATGATTTTCCTTTTTAAGAGAATCACATTTCATAAGCATTTTTTCTAGTACACCATGCAACTCTTTAAACGCATCATGCAAGTCATTATGCTCATCAACTAACTCATTATAGGAAGCATTTAAATCAAAAGAATCATGGTTGGAGTTTACCTCATCTTTGTCAGCCATGAGACAAAGAGTAATATCTTTAAGATGATCAACCATATCTTTGATGTCATTTGCTTCTTTGCTAGAAGTTTGGAAAGTTTCACACTTTCTTTGAATTGCTTCATTTTCTTCACTATAAGAAGATGAGTTAGTTCTAACAAGATCATTCACATGATTAGTAATGTTAGTAGAGCTAAAATTCATCTTTTCTAATTCTTGCTCAAGATAATGAATTTTATTTTTTAAAAAATCATTTTCCATTTGAACTTTTTCTTATCCTTGAGAGAGATCATGATTTTCCTTTTTCAAATAATCACATTTCATAAGCATTTTTTCTAATACACTATGCAACTCTTTAAATGCATCATGCAAGTCATTATGCTCATCAACTAACTCATTATAGGAAGCATTTAAATCAAAAGAATCATGGTTGGAGTTTACCTCATCTTTGTTGGCCATGAGACAAAGAGCAATATCTTTAAGATGATCAACCATATCTTTGATGTCATTTGCTTCTTTATTAGAAGCTTGGAAAGTTTCACACTTCCTTTGAATTGCTTCATTTTCTTCATTATAAGAAGATGAGTAAGTTCTAATAAGATCATTCACATGATTAGTAATGTTAGTAGAGATAAAATTTATCTCATTATTTGAACTATTGCCATTTATGTTATAAGATTCATTTTCATTGATATTACAAGTACTACCATGGAATATCTCAAGTGAGTCCCAAATTTCTTTTTCCGTTTTACAATTTGCAATTCTATTGAACTCATTTTTGTTCAATGCACAATAAAGATTATTTATGACTTTAGTATTACATTGAAATAATCTATAGTCATTTGCATCATATTCTTTCTCCCTTTTAGGAACCATTGTCTTTTCTACTTCTTTCATGGGAATGAATGATCCATTAACTATGGCAAGCCAAATTCTATCGTTTATGGATTGAAGAAAGTCTATCATTATACTTTCTAATAGTTATAGTTGGTTCCATAAAAAATTGGAGGTCTATCAATACATTGTCCTTCTAGGTGTGTGAATATGCCATTGTTAGCCATGATCGTACTCTAAGACGGTTAAGTCTTTTTAATTAGAGTTAGGCTCTGATACCAATTGTTACCCAAGTATTGACTCTAGAGGGGGGTGAATAGAGTTTATGGCAAACAATGGCCAATTTTTAGGTTTGCAAATTCTACTAAACACCTTCTAACAATTATGCAATAATCAAGATATGGACATAAGCAATTAATAGCATAAATGTAAAGGAGATAAGGGAAGAGAGATTGCAAACATTCACACGGCGATTTTAGCGAGGTTCGAAAACTCTTACTCCTCGACTCAAGACTCCTCTTGAGACTTCCCAATCCACTATAGCACCTCCTTATGGGTGGAGAGCAAACATTTATATAAAGCAACTCCTTGCTTCATTTTGCTAAGAGACAACCTCTCTTAGTCTTCCTTTGGGTCACACCAATCCTTACAAATATGAAGCTAGCTTGCTTCTTCTTCCTTGGGCGACACCAGCCCTTACAAATTGAAGAACAGATTTTCAGTACAAAGTAATCTTTCACAGATTTGATGTACAAAGTTTAGCTAACTCTAGAGTATATATATTAATACAATGAAGCTCAGTACTCTTCTAATGATATGGGATATATGAACATAAGAACAAAAACTTTTTGGATGCTATATGATGTTTCTTTATGATAGCAACATTAAATCCCAAAGTCCCCAACTTTATTTACAGAGTTTGATGCAGCTAATTCAAAATATAGCTGTTGTGCACGGGTTTCAAGGCAAAATAGCCATTCAGATTTGAATCTGCGCTAAGTCGGTCGAACGAAATGAATCATCATTTTGTTTCGGTCATCCGAAATGACTTGAGGCTGCCTTTCACCTTTTTATTTCGGTAGGCCGAAATGGGTTATGCTTTTGTTTCGGTCGACCGAAATAGCTTGAGTCCTTGTTGCATAACCACTGTCCAGACCAGTCATCCGGATGATTTTCCTATGCATTTTGGTCTGCTGAAATGAAACTGCAGCTTCAGAAATTTTGTTCTAAGTTTAATAAATGAGACAGTTTTTTTACAGGACATCTGCACATACCTTATTTTCATTGAAAACATTTAAGTAAATGTCCATTTACTTTAAGTTTACAATATAAATAAGGAAGTACCCCCTATTTGGATTCAATAAAAAATACTAGAAAATTGAAATCCAACTAAATCAAAATGTAGAAATTCAGTTTTAGTACAAATTTGGATTTCCGACAGTTTTGGTAAAAATGAATCCTTATGTAGACCAATGTAGACTTGGTCAAAAATTATGATAAAATCAGTTTTGGCTAGTTGAAGTATAAAGAGTTATTACTAGGAAAAATTATTTTGAAATAATCATTATTTCAAAAATCCATTTTTCACACTTAGCCAAAAACACAGTTTTTCATGACGCGCATTCTGGGGTCCTAATGTCCGTTATTAACTCATGGTAATGAAGGCTTCTCGTACCTTAATTGTTGGCCAATATGAATTATATGATTGATGTGCATGGTTTTAGCATTCTTGGCACAAGTGATGAGTTTTTTCAAAGCTTATGCAAGCTTAAACTAACTCACTCTTTAGCAATGACTTCATGTGCAATTATATATGAATGAAGTACATAGTCTATTACTAATGGATATAAGAGCATATGAATGATAATATGATATGCATGGTCTTATAGAGATGAGTCTCAAATGGATTCATAAATACTTTGACATTGAATCTTAAACACTCACCATCCTATCTATCCCTTTCTTCTCGCTTTATCCATGATCGTGTAGGCTTTCAGGTAAACTTGTTTTCTTCCTTTCTTTAAGTTGCTTTTTTGCTCGTTGTAGTTCAAGCTATCTTTGGATGAACTTTGCATTTGTTTCTTTGCAACTTCATGTCTTCTTTGTCTCATTTGCTTTCCATAGATGTGATCTTGAGTAATGGAATACTTGGAATGATCTTTCGTGCTTCATTGAGGTCATCATTTGAATGTGAATAATCTATAACACACAATGTAAACATTAGTCCTTAAACACTATTAATGGTTTGTTATCATCAAAACTTCTAGATTGTCTTTGGATGTAATCTTTAAGGTCAACAGAGGATATATGTATCTGTGTGAAGAAGATCACGAATGTGGGCGTAGTTGAGGGGTTGGTCGAGTGCGCGGCGGATGGAGGCGGAGATCTTGTCGTGGACGAGGTTGGTGTCAAAGTGGTAGAGGCGGAAGGTGAGGTAAGGGAAGGTTGTGAGGATGGTGCGGCGGAGGTCGGCGCGGCGGTGGGCAGCGAGGAAGTGGAAGACAATGTACAGATACATAGGTACAGATATATAGGTACAAATTATACACATACATAAAAAGTGTAAATACCATTTTTACCTTTGCCATGTCACCCATTTACTAGCCTCCATGTCAGCAATGGACACCCTCCAGTGAGACAATTTTTCCCATTCTTCCTATATTGTTTGTGTGTAGTGTATCCGATGGGAAATCCTATTTATCTCCTGTGGGATGGGATTTTGTGCATTCTTCCTATATTGTTTGTGCACAGTGTATCCGATGTGGAATCGTTGCAGTCGGGCCACCTTACCTACCTTGGAATGGCTCACCCGGACGCTTTTTGGGTCTGGTGCTTGGCGTGACACCGAATCAAAAACTGGATTTGACTATGATACCAACTATAACGGTTGAACACTTAACCATTTACCAAAAAGTTTAAGTTGTTGGGTACCGTTGCATACCCACCTATTTATATCCAATGATTTTTTTTACTCGGATCCAATGAAGGACAAATTACAACCACCTACAACTGACCCAAAAAAAAAAAAAAAATGGAGAGCCACCTACCTAGAATCCACCGTAAATAACCATGGAATGTAATACATTCCTCATGCACACATAAGTTCCCTCAAAATTTTATGTAAGACGGATACCGTTAAAACCGTTAAAACCGTTAAAAAGAATAGTGCTCTCTGTGGTCTCCCTCAAAAACCTCCTGCTCCGTTTGGTTGGTAAGAAAAGGAAAGGGTTTGCAGATACCGATCCAACATCTTCAATGCTACTTTCATTTCATTGTTTTGACACCTTAGAAGCAGAAGCATCCACACAACCTATCTTTGTACAATTATTTTATAGAAACATTTAACATTACCTTTTTTTTCCCTTCTAACTCTGCTGTTTCTGAGCTGCCAAAAGGACTGTTATTCCTTAAGAAACCTAAAGAAAACCTTGTTATTTCAGTGTTTTTTTTTTCCTTTCTGTGCAACCATCTTCTTTGTGAAAATTAGAGATCTGAAAATCACATGCTTTCAAAAATACCCACTAACCTTCCCCCTCATCTGAGTCTCAAATTCATTAAGATATATTCAAGCTCTGGGGATTTATGGCGTGCCCGCCAACTGTTTGATAAAATTCCTGAACCAGATTTGCGTTCATGTACAGTCTTAATTTCTGCATACACAAAACATGGTTTCCCAAAGGAAGCTATACAACTTTACGAGGAATTGCGGAAACAAAACATCCCACTTGATAAGTTGGTACTTTTGTCTGTTGTCAAGGCATGTGCTACTTCGGCAGATGTCAACAAGGCAAAAGAGATTCATGAAGATGCAATTCGATTTGGGTTTCATTCAGATCTTCTGCTTGGGAATGCACTGATTGATATGTTTGGGAAATGTAGATTCTCTGAAGGTGCAAGGAGAGTTTTTGATAATTTGTGGGTAAAAGATGTGATTTCTTGGACTTCCATTGCTTCTTGTTACATCAACTGTGGCCGTCCGAGGGAGGCTCTTCGATTGTTGCGCGAGATGGGATTGAATGGGGTGAGACCAAACTCAGTGACCCTGTCCTCCATTCTTCCTGCCTGTTCAGAATTAAAAGATTTGAGTTCTGGGAGAGAGCTCCATGGTTTTGTTGTAAGGAACGGACTGGAAGAGAATGTGTATGTCAGTAGTGCACTTGTGAACATGTATGCTAGTTGTTTAAGCATCAAGCAAGCTCAATTGGTGTTCGATAGCATGTCTCAACGGGACATCGTGTCTTGGAATGCAATCGTAACAGCACATTTTTCAAATGGAGAATGTGAGAAGGCCCTTTCTTTATTCAACAGAATGAAAACTGAAGGGGTCAGGTTGAATTATGCTTCTTGGAATGCTGTGATTGGTGGGTGTATGCAAAATGGGCGGACCAAACAGGCGCTGGAGATACTTTGCCAAATGCAAGATTCGGGATTCAAACCCAACCAAATCACGATCACTAGTGTCTTGCCTGCTTGCACGAATTTAGAGAGCTTGAGGGGTGGCAGGGAGATTCATGGGTATATCTTTAGGCATTGGATTTATGAGGACATAACAGCCACTACTGCTCTGGTTTTGATGTATGCTAAATGTGGTGTCTTGGAACTAGCACGTAGGGTTTTCAAAATGATACCCAAAAGGGATACTGTTGCTTGGAACACAATGATCGTTGCGAATTCAATGCATGGGAATGGTGACGAAGCCTTGTCACTCTTCTACAAAATGTTAAACTCAGGAACCAAACCCAATTCCACGACTTTTACTGGTGTTTTATCAGGTTGTAGCCATTCACGGCTCGTTGATGAAGGCCTCTCAGTATTTCACTCGATGAGTAGGGATCATTTCATTGAACCTGATGCTCAGCATTATTCGTGCATGGTTGATGTACTCAGCCGCGCTGGTCGCCTAGAAGAGGCATATCGGTTCATCCAAGAAATGCCAATAGAACCAACGGCTGGTGCTTGGGGAGCCTTGCTTGGTGCATGTAGAGTTTATAAGAATGTAGATTTGGGACGAATTGCTGCAAACCGGTTGTTTGAGATTGAACCAGACAACCCTGGAAACTATGTATTGTTATCCAATATTCTTGTTACTGCCAAATTATGGGGAGAGGCCTCAGGAACCAGGAAAATGATGAGAGAGAGAGGAATCACAAAATTGCCAGGTTGTAGTTGGGTGGAGGTGAGAAATAAAGTGCACACTTTTGTTGTCGGTGATAAGAGTAATGACCAGAGCAATGAGATTTACAGATTTTTGGATGAGTTGGGTGAGAAGATGAGATTAGCAGGATATAAGCCTAACACTGAATTTGTTCTGCAAGACGTGGATCAAGAAGAGAAAGAGGATAATTTGTGCAATCACAGTGAGAAGCTTGCTGTTGCTTTCGGGTTACTTCATTTGAGTGGCAAGTCATCAGTTCGGGTTTTTAAGAACTTAAGAATTTGTGGAGATTGTCATAACGCAATCAAGTATATGGCCAAGATTGTTGGCGTGGAGATTATTGTTAGAGATTCTCTGAGGTTTCACCATTTCAGGGATGGGTTTTGTTCCTGTCAAGATTTTTGGTGATCTCTAGATCTAGTTTACGGGGGAAGTGCAAAAAAGAGGAAGATCAAGTAAAATTGGAAGACATGAGAAACTGAGAAAGATCATCCCTGACATGCTGTTCAGGAGAACCCAGCTGCTGGTTGTATCCTTTGTGAGATGTCAGCATGAGTGAGCCGGAAGAACATCTTAGACTCAAATGGGGTGAGAAGTTTTATTGTCATGGAGCAGTAGCTGAAGCCAGAGCCAAAAGACATGTGGTGTCGCAGTAGTAAACTCGGATTTTCCTGTCGTTGGACCTTGGAGAGCTTCCGCAAGATTATGTAAGTTTTCACATATTGTACATGAAGGTATGCAAGATTTCAAGAAGTTCCAGCGAAAGATAAACTGACGGTTCTGATATCCGGACATGGCAAGTTGTCCAAGAGAGACTATGTCCTCAGTAAGATTTCCCTCAACAATTTAATCCACATTATAGTTAATTTTGTTTTTGTAGCAGACCAGTTGAGAAAGTTAAATAATTTCTTTTTTTCTCCTTTGAATTCTGTATGATTTCATTTTCCGAAATAATATATTAATTGATATTTCATGCATTTCATAATCATTCAAACCGTTCAACTATCCTACTACCCATGGATCTCCTCATGATCCACCTCAATGTCAGTGATACGGAACCTTGATATGAAGAGCCCCAACCAATTTGAGGTTTAGCTTCAATTTTGCAAATTGATGATATTTAATAGTGATCTTCAGCTCTAACTCCTATCATTCATTGTCAACATAAAACAGAGTTGAAAAAGCTCAAAAACATTATCATTAGAAGCCATGACGATATACAAGCAAGATAGTAGTCTTGCTGCTTCTCCCATAGGATTACAGGAAAGTTCACCACGATGACTTAAACTTATAACAAAATCTAAACCAAGAATAAGTACATCAATGCTGATAAATGCCCAATCACTCAAGTTGAGCATACCAGATACCTTGGATCTTTACATCCTTTGGAGTCTTTGCTCCCAAATCAGTATCAGAAGGCTGAATGCTCTCGAATACTCCGATTATTTCTCCACTGTCAGGCTTGCTACCGGTAACGCTTAGAGTGATTTTCCCTGTCGATGATGCAGTGTTCTTTATATTCTCCTTAACAAGTTCCTCCTCGTCTCCTCTTCCTCCAGCCGGTAGTGCAACCGCGTTGTCATAACCAGTAGAACCACCCCTACCCTTTGGGTCCAAGAAAGATGAACCCCGGTATGATGGTACAAGATACTCTCCCCCAAAGCTCTCTGGCTTGCCAGACGCCACCAGCTGCTTGATGGTGAAGAGGAAGGGCACGCGCTCACCACCAGGCAGCTGAACAGTGACAGCGGCGTAGTCAATTCCATCTTTCTCCTCGAACTTGACTGTGCCATCTGGAGATACATCGAAGGGACCCTCGATCTCATCAAGTGTGTAGGTCAAGCGTGTCATGAGCTTGGTTTTTTGGAACTCAGGTGCGGAATTCTTGCTCACACCCTCGGCCTTAACCGTAAAAGATGTGGGTTCCAAGCAGAACTTCTTCATGTTGTATTTTCCGGGTTTGAATGCAAATTTGTCAACTCCACCTTCAATGGTTGGGCACTGGTTAGCAGTTCCACTTCCTTTTACTTCTAGGTATGTCTTGCTCTGGATTTCATCATAGGTCAGCCTTTTTGGAACTCCTTCAGCACTGGCTCCCTGCAAAACCAAGACATCATCCACAATTGAAAACAAACACAAATACTGTAAATAAGATCAAAACCATAATATTGAGATGGTGTCCTGATAAGAACCCGATCTCCTCCCATATTGGACAGTTCGGTACACAGGAAAGAGTGGACGGAGATCATTCCACATGAGGGATCCACTCTACATGTGGGGATCACACCCCAAGTAGGGTAATCTTTACCCTCCCTTGCACCAGACCGTCCATTGTACAGGAGGTGATCCTAACAAGGTGCGAGACGTCATTAAGATTACACGATTCACTTTTTTGACAAAAAATACAGTTCGATAATTTGTTTGGTTGATATTTTTATGAAAATTTTCTCTCGAAGTAGTGTTTAAAGAGTCCAATTTAGAGATATTTTAAGAGAACTACGACAATTGTTCTCTAAAATTAGGTTTGCTAAATTCGGTTCCGAGATAACAGCTTTCAACAAAATGAAATTAGAACGTATTTTTGAACTGTTTTCACGTTTTCAGTTCTTAATTATATAGTTAAAACGAAACTATTATCAGAAAACTGAACCACACAGAGCGAGCAACAAGAGAAATGAATAAGGTGACATACCGAGACAAGGAGGGCAGAAGTGGCGAGAGCAAAGCCCGCAACTTTGGCAGCATCGGCACACTTCTGAGACAGGTCCTTGAGATCGGACTGCAGAGAGCAAGTCAGCCTGGCACCAGCCGTGTCCAAGCCGAAGGCCTTGGAAACACTCTGAGAGGACCGTAGCTGCAGGCTGCTCCGGCCGACCATGGCCGGTTGCATGAGCGTAGCCGCTGCTTGCAGTGAATTCGCCATTGTTTTTGTCTATCACACACACACTCTCAATGCTACACTTTGTTGCAAACTAGTATGGTATAGTATAGTAGTGAATGGTTTGTGTGGTGAGGATGGACAAATTATTCTGGTGGTTTTGGTTTGAGTAAGATAAGGGATAGGATAAGGTCTTTTTGCATTGGTTGATTTTAGCTAATGCCATTGCTTTCATGTATTGCCACGTGACAGGCTTGGTTTTCCAGATAGAGATACTCACACACCAAAATGATGGTGGGGAAACACTATTTTGTTTGTATTTTTAGTTTGTGTGTGTGTGTGTAAGAGAGAGAGAGAGATATGACATGAAAATCCAAATTCAATGGTCCGTCCTTCACCATTAGTACTCAATTTGATTCATATCTCTAAATATTGAGGGTTCATTTCGACCAAGTCCAATCATAGTGTAATGCTTTACAAATTAATTTATATATATATATATATTTAATTTAATGGTATTGTATAAGGTGTTACATTCTCGATTTAGTTGTATAAATTGGTACTTAGAGAAGATTCTGATTCTGGATTGTTTATTGATAAAATGGATCTCCAATCATTTGATCAGAAGGTTGGAATCATTAGACCATTTCTTGCAGTTGCTTGAGTTTAGATAAGATTGAATGAGGGTGACTATTAATTTGCTAATTCTAACGATCTCTATTTTGTTGGCTGGTGTTATCAAACTCAATCGAAAAAGGAGTTCCGGATTGGTGCACTCAACACAATGAATGTGAAAAACAAATTAAATCGAGAGTTGACACATTAAATGGAGCCGCCAAATAATGTAAAATATTGATTGTCAATTTTGCCCAAATGGGAGTGTATCTGCATTTGGCGGAATAGGTGAATGTATGCGTAAAGAAAATGATCTTTATATGAAAATAAAAGAATCCAGAGCAATTAATGAACAAGATATTGCAAAATCAAAAGTAGTTTTAGTTTACGGTCAGATGAATGAACAGTAGGGAGCTCGTATAAGAATCAACTTAACTGCCCTAATATTTTCGAGATGTTAATGAACTAGACGCACTTCAGTTAAGTTGTTGATTAGACACTAGTTAATGATAACAATAATTCCTTGTCTGAGCAAAACCCAAAATAAGGTTGGGCTGAATTTTTTTAATTTATGTCCAATTTGGAATATTATTATTTCTATTTTCATTTTGTAAAGAAATACAATTGTTCAAAGTTCAAACCCATTAAGATTCAACTTGAATTGGTCCGTCTAGATGGGACACTGCATAACGATCCGGTCCGTCAGGTTTTGACTCGTCAAATGGCCTGGACAGGCCTGACCTATATTAGAATTGATAAACCCAACGCCAACCAACGGGCCTTGCAAATAGTGTATTACGGGCCTCTTTTTGGGTTGGGCTGACGGCTTTAGATTAGCTTCTAAAAGTTAAATATTTTTATGGGCTTTATTGGGCCGAGCTTAAAAACTTATTACAATTGCCAAAATTTGAATGAACGGGCCTGTGAAGTATAGGGAACTTGTGTAGGCCTTTTGGGTTTGGGCTTGGGAAAGTAAACTTTTGAAAGTATAGGACACAGATTGGGATTCGAGTGCAGTGGGACGGACATTTATGTGGTCTAGGTTAGGCCCACTCAGAATAAGTCCCAACATAGTGGGCTGTGTGCCAGAATGTGTGTGAATTTTGATGAATTGCGCCAACAATAGTTTAAAAATTGAAATTATTTGATACTGTGTGGTTTTTTTTTTTGACTAATTATGTGCATTCACACAATTCCTAAACGTCAAATAAACTGTTGGTAAAAAAAAAAAAAACGAAATTTTAATACTTTTGACATTTCTTTCATTTTGCAATTCATCTCAAATAATTTTCAAATGCAATAACATTGTACACTCATGTTGGTATATTTGGATATATTATTCATGAGAACATTTCAAAATCAAAACTTAACCCTCCAACTCCTTTGCTTTATATAATATGTGCGACAAGCAAAAACAATGCATGGGCCACCCTATCAATTTAGGTTGCATTGAACTATGCATAAGCCTACTCCAAATTTTTATTATTATATTTTTTTTTGAAGGGTAAAAGCAAATTTATTAAATCCAGAGGTGCAGTGTAAAAAAATATATATATTCAACGAATATCAGTTATTCAAATTGAGGGAAAAAATATGCTAAATGAATGAGCACTAAAAAAAATATAAGAACCAAAATATCTTTTAGTAATATTTGCATTGAAAAAATTACATACTATCATACGTAAGTGTAAAAAGAAAATTACTAATAAGTAGGAAAAAAGAGAAGAAAAAGGAAAGAAAAATGGGAACTTTGAAAGGAAAAAACAAATTAGAGTTTGATTGAAGAAGATAAATTTATTCCTTTTTTTTTCTTTTCTTTTTTTTTTTTTTAAGAAATCAAAGGAATTAATTTGAAGAGTAAAATGGAAACAAAAATTAAGAAATAATTTTAGAAATTAAGAATTTAGGGGGCATTATGTAGAAAATTTTCATATATATATATATATATATAAATTAAAAATAGCTATATATATAGTAGTGGGCGGGCCAAGGGCATGTGCCCTCTGGGCACACACTGGCTCCGCCCGTGAGTGTTACTGGTTGTGACACTGCCTATTACCCTGTTCTGAGACGCTAACCACAAATGCATGAGGGAGCGAAAGCATAAGATATTATCTGCCATATTCAGGCATATTATAAGTGTGAGTGATTCGGACCGTCCATGCATCTATTCAGGCATATTGTATGTGTGAGTGATTTTTCGAACCTTTCATGCATACCGTACATGTGAGTGATTTTTCGAACCTTTCATGCATGCCGTACGTGTGAGTGATTTTTCGAGCAGTCCATTACAATACGAGTATATATCACGAGTACTATGCTGTAGAGGATCAGGACCCCCCAAGCAAATATTCATTGCACAATATCTCCCTCTTTTTTTAATTTTTGTTTTGTTAGGGGTAACAAAGGCATCTATGCGAGGATAACAAAGAGTGTCGCTCATTTTAGGGATGCTGCCTTTTCAGAAGTGCAATTGTCTATGAACTTGATTGAGTTTAAAGCATCGGCAACGTATAGTAGTAATCATATGACCCAAGAAAACATTCACAACAGTACCCTAAAGAGGGGGGTGGGGGTCGCCTTTGTAACAATTCCATCACGAAACAAAATCATTCAAGAAAGGAGACAAAGAACAAAAGGTTATATACCTGAAAAAGAATCCATAACTGCCATTTTAATCAGGGAAAAGGGAGATTGAAGATAGGGACTCAATGTGGAGACCACTCTCAATTATTTGGGTTCCAGCTGCGTCTTTGCATGTGCACTGTGCCACTTTCCACTCACTCATTCATCATTCACCTTCTAATTTAATCATACAAAGTTGTGTAGACAACTTCAAACCAAAAAAACAAAACCACTATCACTTTTGCTCTGTCTTCACTACTGCAACACAATTTCTTCTGTGACCATACCTAAAAAGATGTGATCCCCCCTTCAACTCTCACCAATAATCATTGCTAATCAAAATTTTTAATCCAATAAATAAATAATGAGCACTGCTATTTCACCCGACTCAAAATAACCTACTTGGTACCAACTCTTCCTTGATGTCTAAGTGTCATGCTGTAACTAGTAGAGCCCTTTATAGAAACAAACACATCTCTCTCCTCTTTACCCATGCCCCCACGCTCTACAAATCACAGACACCCACTCAGGCGGTGGAACTCCGTCGTTTCTTTTCTGTCCTCCCAGATTGTGTCCGCCAGAACACTACTCACACTCCTCACTTTCCTCAGCTCTGGCCTAACGCTGATTACGGGATCATTCGAATTTTGGACACCTAAATCTGGCCGGAACAACCAAGCTTCTCCCACGATGGTCTTGATTTCTCTGATTCCCTCCGATTGGAAAGACACTTGTGAAAAAGCACGCCGGATTTTCTTTCTTGGGCATATAATTGAAAAATCATCAGCTACGAAGTAGGACTTGGGAAGGCTTATGGTTGAAAACGTATCTCAAAATCTCTAAAAGTAAGGTCATGGATTGCATACATTTTTCTGCAGTTCCTTAAGTCTTCTCATCCCCTCTCTCTCTATATACAAATGTTTACATATATATATTAATTCTCAATTATTGTTCTTGATATCCAAAAGAAAGAAAAAAAATTGCAGATGACGAAAAAGAAAACTAAGAAACCAAATAGATCTGCAAACCCAATTTTTTCTTTTTCTTAATCTTTTTCTTTCTTGAGGTGAAAAAAAAAAATTGCACATGACGAAAAAGAGAACTAAGAAACAAAATAGATATGCAAACCCAATTTTTTTTTTTTTTTTTTTCCCTTAATCTTATTCGTTCTTGGGGGTAAAAACCATAGTCCAAGATTACAGGGAAAGACAAAAATTTCCCTGCAACAAGGCTTTTTAATGGAAAAGATATTTTATAAAGAGAAGGAATTTTTAAACAAAAATATATACATATGAGTAACTTCTACACACTGAAAAAATATAAAGCACACAAGATATAAAGAGCTTCAAATGAAACAAAGAGGAAAGGTTAATTTTGTCTAAAAAAATCTATTATATTTAATATGTCTCATGTGAGTAGTCAAAAATATCATTTTTCATAAATAACACAACTTAGGTCCTGCACACCAACCCATCATTGATATAGTATCATTGTTAATAGAAAAATCCAATCTAATGATTGGTGAGTGTGGAAACCTCTCCTTTTTTTAATGAGAATCCTTGTTCATTGTTGTGTATGTCCGAGCACATGTTGGATGAGCCCGATGCGCATGCCCCGGGCAAATCCAATGGTAAATTGTTGATACTCATATGAATGTATAAAAAGGATAGACAAACCTCCGTAATAAAAAATTGTAAATAGAAGTAAAGGAAATCATCAATCAACAGCAAGAATTGAATCGTGAAAATAATGCAAGTATACATATGGAGTCTATTGATGTTGATGATGATTTCGTCCTCTTCTGGTTTGCACGACTGTTGATTCATGAGAATCACACACTTGCGTCTTGAACTTGCACCCAAATTTCTTGGTCAAGGAACCCCTCCATCCCCCACCTCCAGGTGGGCCCGTCTTATCCATCTTCTCAATCGCCTTCTTCATCGTGGAACATTCACGTTCCAGTTGATGGACCCGCGACCTCATGCTATCCATGTCCAGTCGCAGCACCTGATTATTCCTCGCTGCAGCCCTCCACGTGCCGCCGCTGCTATCTTGCGCGCGGGGTGGAGGAAGAGCTCCATCCCCTTCCCCATCCCCTTCCACTTCGTCCTCTTCCTCTTGTTCTTCTCGTTGTATATTCGATGTCCGGCGGTGGTCCGCCGGTGGAGCCTCGGCGGCGAGGAGTGTTCCGGCTATCGCGTGGCGGAGCTGGAGCTGCTCGACGAAGAGAACCTGAACCACCGCTCTCAGTGGAAGCCGCTCGTTTTGAGCTGCGTGAGTGCACGCCTCTAACGTGAGCTTCTGGCAATCCATCACTCCACAGATCTTCTCTCTCTCCAACTCTTGTATCGATGGATGAGCCTGAGAGAAAATCAAGAGCTTAGAGGAAATTAAACTAGTTACAAACTTACACTGCGCATACTAGTTCACGTTAGCTCGTACCTTGAGATAAAGGTCAACTGCTCTGTACAGACCGTCGTCGAAGAGTCTGGCGTGATCCGGCAGAGCAACGGCGAGCTCGTAGAACTTTTCCGGCTTCAAATTAGCATCGGAAGCGATCTCCGATAGAAAACCGTCGATCAATTTTCCCACAAGCATCAACGACGCTGATCTGACGCCATTGTTGTTCTCATCTTGATCACCTTCGATGATAGTTCCAGATCTCTCTTCCAATCCATCCAGAAAGTAACCTAAGATCCTCTCAACGCAGTCCACATCGTAGAGTGTTTCGTTCAGATACGAATAGCTCGGTATCAGAAGATCATCGAGTGTTGCTTGTTCGAGTTGCGATCCGATCTTCCTCTCCAGAGCAGATCGGCAAGTCTCCGAAGCATTCAATATGTTCGCAGTTCTCAACAATCCGAAGAGAATTCTCGTCGCTGTTGAAGAAATTGAGCTCTTTCCGGATGGTAGGTTTGCAATTACAGTCTCTAATAGCTCTCTCTGGTCGTTTTCTGAAGGAATTGACGATGAAGAAGGTTTTCTACTGGATCGAGATATCCCTGGCATGTATTTCTTCGCGTAGTGAATGAGACAGCTCTCGATGATTTCGGGACTCAGATCTCGAGCTTTCATGGCGAAAATCAAACGCTTGAATAGAGGTAGACTCAGAAGGCCGAGTTCTTCAAACCACGACTCTGCTCCGGCGGCTCTCGCGGTGGTTTTACCTTTTCGGCGACCGGCGGTTTGAATCAACGACGCCTGATCGGAGGAACTCCATTCGTTTCTAGCTTTTTCGTTCACCGGCCATCCGAACAACGACGGATCGGTTGAAGAAGCCCTAGCTGCGACCGAATCAATGCATCTCTGAACAATGCCGAGAGTCTCCGCCAGAGGCACCAATTGCTCGCACGATTTCAAGGTTCGGATCGAGTCTTTGACGCATTTGAGGACCGATTGAGAGAGAAACCTCTCGGTTCGCGAGATGAGATTGTCCTCGGAGTACTCTTCGGTCATCTCCAGAACCTCTCCGGCGCAGCGGAGAGGCGCGACGTTGGACGGCGAGAGATCGATCTTGACGCCGTAGCAGAACTTCGCGGCGGTCTCGAAAGTCTCAGAGCCGCCCGGGAATTCCGGGAGAGTGATGAGACAGTACTGGTCCTCCTCGTCCACTTCTTCTTCTTCAATCTCTTCCTTCTCATCTTCAGTAGCAGCAGAGATTGTTTGGACTCTTCTGGTAGGGTTTGTCTCTTGCTCTGTTATCAGCTCGTTAAGCTTACTACTTTTCGACATCAGAGGAAACTGAAACAGTAGAACAAAAAAACACACAAACACACACCACTGTCAGTGATAGAATCACTTTGACTATACTCTGAAACCCTAATTTCACCATCACTGACTTTGTGAAGATGAAAGGTCATGTCTTGAACTTCGATTACAACATCGCTTGGCAATCCAGTAGTGCAAAACCTGCAAGAGATCGATCGAAATCGATGAAACAAATCAGTTCTGGTGATAGAGAAGTATATATATTAAGTTGCATTCGTTGATCTTACCATGCTTGTCCTTTTGAATGGGTAGCCATTTTTGTTCAGAGGAGCTTCAATGTAGAGAGAGAAACTAAAGTAGATCCATGAAAATGATGAATAACAAGAACTTCACTTTGGAATGGAGAAAAATAGAACGGAAAATTGGGGATGGAACGAATATCGAAAAAGGGAAAAATGCTTTTCTAGTCTTTTGAATCAGATCAGAATCTTCTCTTTCTTTTTTATTTTCTCTCTCTAAATTATGAGAAAGGAAAAGAGAGAATTGAGAAAGGAAAGATGACTTTGAATTCCTTTTTTATGACACAAAAATGGCAATCATGATCTCATGTAAACCAAAAACACGCATTGCTTGCCAACTGTTTTTATTGCTTTGCTTTTTGGGCGATAGCAATACACATTTACTTACACCAGCCACAAATATTTTATGGGAATTTTTATTTTTTAAAACAATAAAGTGCTTCTAATGAATAAAATATAAGATAAAAATTAAAAATTAATAGCCCAATAAAATTAAAAATTACCATTTCTATTTAATGTGTCCATATCTGATTTGTGTGTTTTAAATTTTAAAAGTAATGTAACATATTTAAATGATGATTGCACTCATATAATTATTACATTTACATGTCATTTTTATATTGTTGTTATTGTTATATATTCGAATTAAAAGCGTTTAATTCTTAATTTAAATGTTATTTCAATTCATTAAAATTTAGTTGAACACTTAATACGACTATACCACTATACTTATCTAACTTGTTTAATAAATAATCTAAGATATAACATGACACGAGTGAGTTTAATTTAATTGTAATACAGAGAGTCGAAGTCGAAATTTGGCACTTCAAAATTTACTAGAGACACCAACTCACTATGCTATTGGGGTATCTGCCAAATGTTTAATTGCATGTCTAATCAATTTAATTGGTATTGAACCAGTAAACTATTGTTGCGTTGCAAATGAGCTTTTTTTAAGGAAAATGATAGGGTCACCGAATGATTTCTCTGAATAAATTTCGAATCTAATATGTTTTTGTTCACCTTATTTATTAAACAGTTTCTAAAAAGATTTCCCTATCATTACTCTTCTTTTAATTGTCAAAAAAAATTTATTAGATGATATCTACTTTTTGGTAATCTAGTGTTGGTTTTTCATGAATTGAATTCTAAATTAATTTTGGTCATTCTTAACTAAACTCATCCTAGTCGGTGGTATCAGCTAGTTCCACTAAAACATCAATGTCTTTGTAAATTAGGAATGACATTACAATCATAGTTCCTCTTTACTTCTATTCCGTGAGCATTCTAATGTGTCTGGTAAATAATAATAATAATAATAATAATAATCTAATGTGTTATTTTCATATTATTCGATTTGATCACAAAAAAAAAAGGAAAAAAAAAGAAAAAAGAAAAAATAGAATGTTTTATGATTTTCATTTTAATCTAATGTGTTATGATTTTTTTTTTTTTTTATAAAAACATTTTTAAGAAAACGTCTATTTTTGGATAATAATGGTTTATAATTCACGGGAAATTAGGGTTTAGTTAATCTTGTTTGCTTTCGCTGTGCCAAATGAAAGGACTCCATAGTTCCGTCCAATCATAGTTTCAATTATGAAAACCCAAAGTTTCTTGTTTGGTTTTAGATTTAAAAACGATTGTGGTGGCCATACAAACACACAGTAGCTTATGAATGGCCGACATTATTTAAGTCTATATATTTTATTTGGCTCTTGGAGACACAGTAAATTAATCCAATGAATTAAGAAAGTTGTCACAAATTATTCGAGATTATAAGATAACAGATGGGTTAATAAAGTTGGCACAAATTATTTGAGACTATAAGATCATAATGACATTCATATGGATATATATATATATATATATATATATATATCTGTGGATGGTCCCAAGTTGGGGACCACCAAGCTCTGCCCTAGCGTTCCTTCCAACATGACTCACATAAAAGGAGTTTAATAACATCATCAAACGGCGGGAATTCAAATCCTTTCACATATGGTACAGGTCTGAAAAAAAGAAAAAAACACGGTGTGCTATCCAAACCATTAATAACAACTTATCTACCTCCTTTTACCCTCCTTTTGCTTCATATTTATTGCCATCATAATGAGCTCACAGAGGAGGTAGGTTTTTGTGTTAGAAATCGAATTCCGGCTAGGGCATAGCGTGAATTTTTATAAAGAAGCTTTGGTAGAATGCCTTGTCGATACCAATAGAGAGACTGATTGGACCGTCAAAAAATCAAACTAACAAACTACTAATAAAATTTTCAGAACAATTTTAAAGAATATGTTTCAGCTCGAAATGATTCATTTTCGATTCAAATTGGACGAACAATCAAAATTGACATGTTTTGCTCATGATATGCATTAATTTTTTCGACTGTATTCCATTATTTAGAGTCGGTGGTCGAATTTGACTTGGATTAGGCTGATTTTGGTATTTATTATTCCCTACGTCCCATATTAATTGTCCATTATTCGTTTTTTAGGATATACAAAATTGAAAAGTTGAAGTAAGATAAAAATATCTTTTTATAAATATATTTAAAGTTTATATATATATATATTCAAACTTGAATGGATAATATGTCCCTTTAAAAAGTTATACTCTCCAAATGAGACTATTAATATGAAATAGAGGGAGTACATTTTACTAGGTAGGATTCATTCCCCCAATTTTTAATTTTTAATTTTGTCGATAATTTTTACAAATAGCTCAATTTTGGACCTACTTTCAAGTTTGGCCTATTGTATATATGCATGTAATAAAAGTATAATGATTCCTTCATTATTATCAACAACAAATCATTTTATTTCTCTCTAAATTTTGTGGATTCAAAATAATATAATCATTAATCCTTTGTCAATATTCATAACTTCCAATTGGTCTCAAGCATTCAATTACAATAATTGCCCTTGAATGAAGAGTGAGAGAGAGTTTTTGAAGTGGCTAATTCACAGAACTTTACTACTGCATTCATGTGATTAAGTGACTAATCATTAGACAGAGTGCAGAAAGCAAGTATAGTTGCTTTTTTTCCCTGCGTACCATTGGCGGACCATGGCTTTGGTTCTTACCATTTTGTAGTGTGGGGCACACTGTCTTTGAGGTGGAAGTTTGCCTCCCACTATAATATATTAATTAAGGTGGAATATATAAATGTGCTACCAATTGAAACCCTCCTCTTCTTTGGGAATATGCTCAGTGTGTCCGATGCACTGTACATAAGATTATTAGATTAGTTACTTTTGTACGTGTTATACATGCAATTCTAATGTGCACAAGGGTAGATTCAGAAATGTATAATGGGATAGACTAGTACTATTATTATTATTATTATTATTATTATTATTATGATTATTATTATTATTTTGGACTGAATTAAAATTATCTCTATTAAAGTTTTTTATTTTTTATTTTTTGGTGTGCTCAAGCCCACTCCTAGATCAGCAAGTGAATGTGCATTGGGCATACTAAATATCTACACTCTCCTCCTCCCCTCTGAAAAATGAGGAAGTACGCACAAATCCATGAGAGCCAGTTCAATGAGGACGTTGGTCCAAATAGGAGTGATTGTAACGTTTCACACCACTTAAGAAAGAGTTTTGATGATATTTATATGTGGGGACACTTCTTAACTACGTAGACATGTTTTGAGATAAAACATGAACATCTAGCGAGTCGTGATATGTATTTATAAAACCATGCGCATATATTCTTTTTATTTATTTTTATTATATTAGTTTATTTTATTTATTATTATTATTTTTTGGGTGAGGTGACACACATACACATATGTGGGTCGTTTTGATCAATGAGGCATGTTCACAAATAATAACACAATGATGGTGGGTTGAATGAAGAGAGCACATATACCAAACTTATGACTTAAGTGCAAAAGTTAAAGAAACACTTATAAAAATAAAAAAACACAAAAAAAAAAAAAAAAAAAAAAAAAAAAAGTGCAAAAGTAAAAAGAAATACAACACCCTGCCCAAGATAAAAGGAGTTCCAATTTTCAACTAATTATTCCATACGCATAGTGGGTTCGGTCAATGCTTATTGACTTTGATTTATTCAACTAACTTTTCTTTCTCTCTATATTATATATATAAACATATGATTATATATATAATAACTTTATTTTATTGATGCACAACCACCCACCATGACTCCAACATCGGTCCTGCTGACCAGCATCCAAGGCATCTTTCAAGATTTCACCTTATCTACAAAAAAATAAAAATAAAAAATAAAAAATAAATAAATAAATTGTTAGGCACTATTTCATATTGAATACTATAGTTTATAAAATTGTAGCCCATTCACATTGACATTGGGAAGAGACTCTTATTTATTGGCTTAATTTAGCTTCTTTTTGCTTTAATTATGTACTTTTTCTTGGGTTAAAATTTCAAAGGCATATATGCTATGATTTGATATTTAGCAAATTAAAATGGAAACATAATAATGCATTTTAAATGGAATTAAACAATAGGATGCTCCATCTATTCCGTTACATCAAGGGAATTGAGAGGATGGCATTTTGTGTTTCTAATTGTTGTTGCCCTGTAGCAATTTGAATAATACTTTTTAAATAAACTTTTAAATTAGAGTAATGAATAATGATCGTACATCCCACTAATTTTATGCAGGTAAGAACAGACGTTATCATGGCATCACGATGATATTAATCTTTATTCACATAAATTAGCTAAACTTGTCCGATTTTTTGACTCCAAATTATGGTCCTTTTAATAGTCATTTTGTTTTACAAACTTGTAACACTTAATTTTAAGGGGTTGGCCTAGTGGTAAAATCATTCCCGCCAAGAGCATACGACAACTTGAGGCGTATAGGGATTAGTTAGGATCAAGCCTCGGATACACCGCGTTATCTAAAAAAAAAAAAATAAACTTGTAGCACTTTCCTACCAAACATGTTTTTAATTTTAAAAATATTACAAAAACTTTTACGTTACCAAACATATTTCTAATCATTCTTGAAGACACTTCACCACTAAAACGTTGTTTTTGATTCAGAGAAAAAAAAGAAAAAAAAAAAGAAAAAAAACAAACAAACGAACGAACGGAAGACGTTTTCCATTATGAATCTAAGTATATATTATACAAAAAGAAAGAAAAAACATAATACCTCTGTCTAAAAAAAAAAATGTCCTATTTTGAGAACTATAACAGTAAAGGGTTGGGGGACGAAAAATGATGGTCTTGATAAAACATACAGTACTTCAGGACCATGTAAATTTTGACCAGGCTCATTTGGTCAATTCTCATCATGCGGACC